CAGGCAAAGAGATCACTGGGAAAGACCAAGACATCCAATTTACACAAGTTTAGTACATGAGAATGCTGACATACAATCCAGCGGGAAAAGGTAGATTATTCACTAACATGTTGAAACACCAAAAGTTACATCCCTATGTACATCAGCATAAATTTTTAAAGGATTCAATTTTTAATATTAAAATATAATATTAGAATAAAATAGAGATTCACATAATCTCAAGAGTAAAGAAAGATCTAAAATGAGGCCAAAGGCAAAAATCGTTCAGGGAAAAATAAAATTTTTAAACAACTCAATTCCCCCAAATAAAAACATACACAAAGAAGAAAATTTAAAAATAGAGTGGGGCTGGGGATTTAGCTCAGTGGTTCCAGTGCCTGCCCTGCAAGAGCAAGATCCCAAATTCGATGCCAGGTACCAAAAAAAATAAAAATAAAAATAAATAAATAAATAAAATTAGATAAAAACTTTTTGCAGCATACATGACAGACTAACAGTTAATATTTTAATATATGAAGAACTGTTACTGTCACTACCCAGAAAGAAAATGATTAAAACCAAAAAATAAAAATTGAGACAAAGAATACTACTTATAAAAGACAACTTTAAAAGGTTGAAAAACATACAAAAGCTTGTATTATTTTCCATAATGACATTTTAAGCATTTTGATTTTAAAAGGCAGAGAGAACATTAATATTAATAGCAGCAAGACCTTATCTCAAAAACTAAAAAAAAAAGAATTATGCTTAATTCTTCAAAACAAACCAGAGGCACTAACAAGACAAAATGATCCCTAACACTGACAATGCAAGTAGCAGGGGTCCTAAGATGCACCAAATAAATTTCTTCTGAGAATGTTTATCAAATTTGCCCATATTAGAGAGGTTTCCTGCTACAATGCACTTCCTGAGAACTTATTAAGAGGGGATATTTCTTTCTGATCAACCTCATGGAAAACTACTACAGATGAGCACTCCTAATCCAAAAATCTGAAATTAGAAATGCTTCAAAATCTGAAACTTATCATTAACATGATGCCACATGTGCAAATTCCACACCTGAACTCATGTGACAAGACATGATCAAAATTCAGGGACACTATAAAATTATTTTCAGTCTATGTACAAGGTGTGCATGAAGCATAAGTGAATTTTCCATTTAGACTTGGGACTTATCCCTGAGGGATCTCATATGTACACGCAAATATACCAAAACATGAAATATCTCAAACGTTTCTAGTCTCAAGCACTTTGAATACAGGACGCTCAACCTGTATTCACAACTAAATATTTGACTCAAACACAGCTGCCCTTCCGAGCTCTTTCCAAGCATTCCCAGGTAAAGACAGTCCTCCGCCTAGGTCCCCAGAGCACTCTGGGTTTGTTCTCATTACGATCCTTAGCACCAGAATTGAAATCACTACTTCACATGCAATAAATAACATCATCATCACTGTCACCATTACGATCATCACCATCACCTTCATCAAGCACTTGATATATAGTAGGCACTGTACTAAAAGTTTCATGCAAATTTCTTAATCTTCAAAACAAATCAGTGAAACAGATACTATTCTCATTTTCAAGTGAAGGATCAGAGCTTAGATGAAAGGGTTTGTTCTTGTCTACCAGCTAGTGTGCATCAAGTCAGTAACCAATGCAGGATCTGTCTGAAACCAAGACCTTGCCTGACCACCCTCTTCCTCCCTCTCCATGCAGCTGCCTTCCCGCCTGTGAGTTCTTGTGGCCAGAGACCACTGCCCATATTCAAAGTCGTGTTCCCAGGGCTGCACAGGGGCCTGGCACCCAACAGGTGGTCATCAGTGTAAGTCCATCCATTATTTCAATTGCTCACTTATTCGTGCAGGGTAAAGTCCACACATTCTCATGTGTTGGTAACAGGTATGTAAAGTGGACCAGTCTTTTGGGGGCACAAGATGAACACATCTATAAAAATTTAGAATCCACTGATAAGAACTGATTCTATAAGGCTAAGGACTTAGCTCAGTGGTTCCGGTGCCTGCCTCACAAGCGCAAGGTCCCAAGTTTGATTGCCAGTACCAAAAAAAAAAAAAAGACTCGATTCTATTGACCTAATTGCTTAAGTATACAAAAAAAAACCTATCAGGAGGTACTGTTATTATTTATTATTATTTATAATATTTTAAAAACATGCAATCTGAATGTCCAGCAACAGAAGACTGATTAGAGTACATCAATGCTACACAATCATTTAAAACTCTAGATCTACATGTGCTACTATGAAAAAATTCTATGGTTTATTAACAAGTAAAAAGGCAAGGTGCAGAACAGAAAGAGAACTATGATCCTATCTGTATTTTTTTTGGTATCAGGGATCGAACTCAGGACCTTGGGCTTGTGAGGCAGGAGGGGTGCCACTGAGCTAAATTCCTGGCCCTCGTATTAATTTTTTAAAAGACTCAAAAGGGCACACAAGTATGTTAACAACAGTCACCTTTGAGAATAGGCTGGAAGAGGGGAGAGACTTGTCCATTTCATACTCTTCTAAACTATTTAAATTATTTGCCAAAGGCATGTAATTTACTCTTATGAATGAATAAATGAATGGTTGTCCTACTGTTTGGAAGCCTGGTTTGTCTTTTAAATATCAATACCCTTAAATTCCATTTTTGTCATGTAAAGACTATATCCTCCTCTGAAGGATTTGGCAGCTTGTGTACAGGCAGGCCACTTCCTCATCACCAAAAAACAAACACAATATAAATCACCCTTTCACTCAGCATGCTTTCATTTTATTTGCTAAAGCTACAAAGGGTAGAGGAGAGAGGCAAGTATGACCTGGGAGCAACTAGCAGAACCTGCTTTTATTTATGGTTTTTACCAACTGAACATGGACCTAAACATAAAAAGTTAATAACTCCTCTCATAAGGAGAGATGGGAAAAGCTGATAGGTGAATGGCAGGGCAATTCTTTTACATTTCTAATTTACCACTCTCTTCAACTGTATCAGCCCTAATGAAAGACTGTCTTGCCTAAAAACACCATTTCCTACTCCAGCATGTTTATCACTTTATTCTGCCCCTGCCTCAGCAAAAGCAGAGGTGCCAAAAACATTTTAATAAAAATAGGAAGCCTATTTTTATCTATAGCCTCTTAACCCTGACACTGTTTACATTCATTTTCATATACTTAAGCAATCTTCAGTGTTCTCCTTTTAGCTAACCTTTCCAAATTTGTATTTGTAGTTGCTCTCTACTTTTATAAATTATACTAGTCTAGGAAATAATTTCAAAAGCAACTGACCTTGTCTAGAAACCTTGTCTAGAAAGAGAAGTTAACATGGGTCTGTCCCATGTTTGTAATCTCAGGACTCACCCATGCCAGCAACTCCTGAGTCAGTGCCTCCTCCTTCCTGACTTCCTGATCCACACATCCCACAGGCCACCTCCCAGGATCTCCAAGAGGCCCCAGAGGTGCATCATCTGCTCCCCAGCCCACCAAACCTGCCCTCCCTTCTGCATCTCAAGCTCATTTGAGAGCCTCACACCAGATGGCAAAGCCAGACAGGCCCTCAGCAGCCAGTCTCGAGATTCCCAGGTCTGGAGACCCTACCTTCTAATTATGGGAACTTGCTCCGTCTTCATTGCTCCCATCACTGCCTCCATCAGACACCCAGGTGATGTCCTATCCCAGTCCATCTGGCTTTACCTCACCCAGCCTGTCCTTTGCTGTGCTGCCAGGACAAGCATACATCAACAATTTCTTACTTCCCACAATTTCCCATACCACACCACCGCCTCCATCTAACTTATTTCTCCTATGAAATATAGTTTATGCAGAATAAAAACAGCCCAACATGTCTTTTATATATTCCTGTTCAAGGAGTTTCAGGTATATTGTCAGAGCTATCATCAATACCTTTTCCAACTCAATAGAAACTTGAAAGTTAGCATATCACACACATGAATTACAATTCTTTGTTGATTTCTATAATCAATTTAGGGCTGAGATGATGTTAGGCAAATTCAACAGAATAAAATCAATAGTGACTTCCAAGGGAATAAAGATTGTGTATCATAATAAATATACAAATGGATACTGAAGTTTTCTGAATGTCTCTTTATATATATTTCCATATATCATGTATGAAAAATGTCTAGTATTTCCATCCATTACAATATAGCTATTTTTTACTTGTAATCTCTTTATCTTATAGCTTATTATAACCATCAAATTCAGAAATATTTCTAAATAGTTTTAAATATAAATAAAAAGTGAAACAAACAGGGAAAAAACATCATGATGGCCATAGAAACCAACAGAAGTTTTCCAACCACATTTATGAAAGATGCCCTAATTACTAATGAACCACTAAAGCAGGTGTTTGTGGGGCATAAGTCTCTAAATCTTTATTTTTCTAGTGAAAGATGCTATCAGAACTATGAAACTTATAACTTGTCCAATCTAAAGGACATAAGTTTCAAAATATGAAGATAAAGAATCTGCACTAAACATTCTAAGCACTGAAGTTCTAAGTCCACATATTTTTAAAAATCTGTTAACTTGGAAGCATACTTCCAGTTAACAGCAATCTAGAATTAACTCAAATAACAGAATATATACTGAAGCTTTGTGGGGGGGAGTCTATGAGATAGACAGAAAGAGCTTAGCAACCCAGTTAGTAAAGATTGCTCTGCTATTTTTGATTTATGATTTTAGTGAGGCCTGGATGTTCCCTATCACATTGCAGTTTGTAGCCCAAGGTTAGCAATAACCAAGGTGTTGTATACAAAATCAAGTACCTAGCTCCTTTGAAGTAGACTAATAGGAATTTCCATTAAACAAAGGAAATTAGGAAGAAGGACTAAATATGTAATTGTTTTTGCTTTGTATTAAACTTTTTTCTCCCATTTCCATATAATAGTCAATATACAACAGTTGATTTTATGCAACTTTAAATATAATTTTACTACAGGTAGCACTCCTGGGGTTGTGGAACCACTCCCCCTTCACCCACCTGAATTTGGACAACATCCCAGGGCCCAATCTTCCTTTACTTTTCCAAGAGAAACTGAAATTTTAAAAAATAAAATTTTAAAAAAGAGACCCTGGAAATCTCTATAGCTCCAGGCCAGGGCACATGTGTGCTATATCTCATGGCCCGAACTTCAGTAACCTTTTCCCCACTGGAACCTCACTAAAGGTTTATACAGATGGATTGCATCTCATGTATGTGCTTTAATCAGAGTGGATTCTGGGATAGGCATGCGTGTATTATGCCCCTAAAATGACTCAGCACCCTGTCAGTCATTTCTGTCAAGCTTATCGAGAAACTCAATGAGAGACACCTGGGCTGGGGTCCACCTCTTTTAAAATCCAAAAGCCCGATTTATCTACGTGCTTTTTATTTTCTTGTCATCCTGACACTACTCTCCAGCTTATGCCACCCTTTCTATTTCTGTTGGCACAGACCTACCCTGAGCACACCTTCCTGCTATCTTCAATAAATGTAGCTTTTTTCACCATTGGATGCACACTTGCGATTCTTTGCTTCCCGTACACATGACCCTGTACTCTGTCAGACCCACCAAACAGTATCAACTTTATGATACTAAAAATAATCATCACTGAAGGAGCTCTGTATGAAGTTTCTCTGTGGAGCAGATGATTTTTTCATACAAGATAACTTTCTAGGTTCAAAGTGGAATATGAAAACTTGTATGTTAAGGAGTTAAGGAAAAGAAAGATTTTCTTGGTGTGAATGTAAACTGCATGTGTCGATGTGATTGTGCCAAAAGGTGCCCAGACTAAACATTATTTCTGGGTGGTCTGTGACACTGTTTCTGAATAAGATTCTGAATAAGATTAGCATTTGAATTGGGAGACCGAGTAAAGTGGATGGTATTTGATAGAAAATATTTGTCAAATCCTTGTCTACAATTTTGAACAAAAAACAAAAAAAGCATGACACATGAATTCTATCCCATTCAGGAATTCAATGAGATGTACAAAGACATCAAAAATAAAAGCATTCTGAAAATACACTATACATAAAACATACTGAAAATTTTACTTAGAGGAATATTCCACCTGACCAAGAAATTAATCAAAATACATTGTGAGGCACAAGCCCCCTCACCCAATGGACAGATCAGACTGAGGACTGGGAGTGAACTAAATGCAAGACTTAATGTTTCGGTCTTGAAGAGCAGGTGCCAGCCTCACAGCTAAGCAAGCACACCCAGGTCAATTTATCTGTGAGCAATTTCTCTCCTAGAATCCAGGTCCCTGCACCAACTTCCTTACAGTTCTGAATACTATGGGGGAGTACAATCTTCCCAGTTGTCCAGTAGGTTTTATTAGGATTTACCCCTGGGCTGCTCCTTCTGCAAACATTTTGTAGGTTTAAAGGCAAATGATTAAGCCACAAGTGGGTAACTGCCAGTACTTTTCCAATAGTGATGCCATACTTTACTATCTGCCCCTTCCCCCTTTGTTTAAGGACCTTTCATTACCTCAGTCACATCCACAGGCAAGTAGGCAATTTTGTGTACTAGTAGCTTTCCATTCAGAGTTAGGCTCTATTTTGAAAATGGACCACTTTAAGTTTCTATTTCTTACATACATAAATCAAGAATGAGGAAGATAGTACAAAAGCAGAAGCAAATAACCATGAACTAGGAAAATTTAGAACTCAGTTTAAACAACTGTTTTTATTCATATAGTAAAAAGAAAATCAAATGTCAGGAAAATAGTTTCCTAAAGAATAGGTATACATCTTTATTACTAACTTAAAACCCTGGTTTACATAGATAAAAACTAGGAAAAAAGGTACATTCATTTTCTTGTCTTTCACAGGAAGAAAAGTCAATAGATACTATTAATGACAACATTAGTGAGAATTTGAGGTTCAAAAATATTTTCATGTGCAATAGTAGAAATGAATACAAGCTATCAAGTACTACAGGGGGAGAAGGATGTAAAGAAAAATGATAAAAAAAAAAGTTTCCATAAAACAAGACAGCAAAAACAACAGAAAACTAAACAGGTATCATAAAATGCAGACAGAACTGCTCCAGTTAAAATAAAATAAAACAGACTCCCAGTTGAATACTAAAAACAAAAATCCAATTGTAAGATATTTATAAGAGGGCTGGCTCAAAAAAAATGGTGTTCAAAGTTCAAAGAACAGCACCAAGGGCATCTCCAAGCAAAAACAGAGAAATGGCAACATTGATAAAGTAGAACCCAAAACAAAAAAATTTAAATGGGAAAAGAAGGTTGGTTTATAACCATTAAAAAATTCATAGCCAACTGAGGCAGGAGGATCCCAAATACAAGGCCAGCCTGGGCTACAAAGCCAAATCATATCTCAAAATAACAATTAACAAGTCTTCCACAATGAGAAACATAGTGTTGAAACACATAGTAGAAAATATGTTAGAAACTAAGGAAATTAACGAAACCATAATGGTAGTTGGAGATTTCAACATTACTTTCTCAAATTGTTACATGTGTGTATTAATATAAAGATATTCAAGAGTTGGTTTAAATAACATCATTTATAAACTCTGGAATAAAATACACCTGAGTATACAGATCCAGATCCCACTCTGTGCTCAACGAAGAATATAGATTCAGTTTCCCAGCACTCCCAGCCCTCAGCCCCTCAGTGTTGCTGACCTCAGTTGGTAGTCACTGACCCAGTACCCAGCCTACCTGCTCCTCCTTATCGACAAAGCCATGCCTGGTTTAAAAACAACTATCTTTGGACACTCCCTTATGGAGAGGGTCTGCCATAGTTCAAGTCAATGAGATGATAGGGTTTCCACGGAAAATTCTTAAGACTGACATAGAACCACTGCCATCAGCTCCATCCTTCTTTCTCCTTGTCCACTAGTGACGTGATAGGTAGATCTGCAGCAGCCACTTTACAACTGTGAAAGAAAGGGCAAGAACACTGCAGAGAACACACTCGTGTCATCCTTGAGCTGAGAGACCAATGACAACACTCCCCTGCCACTGAAATTCTTTGTAAGGTGCATGAAAACAAATGATAAAAACACCCTTCCTCGTTTAAGCCTCTATTTCACAGGATTATTGTTTCTTCTGATCCAATTCAATTCCTAACTGAATTGCAATAATCAAAATGTATTAACCCCCAACAAAAATGTAAACAATTGGTCTCTGTAAAACATGATGCGCACTGGAATGTGCAGGACCCTGTGGGAAGGTAAGAGTACTTCTCAGAGTGACACTAGCCCATGAGGGCAAGGGAGTGTGGATAGCATTACAGGCAGCCAGAAAAGATCCAGGGAAGGACACAATGGCCAAACCCAGGGCACTGAGGCTCAACAAAGATTTCACTGGATTGGTGAGGTTATCTTGCCCAGGAGTAAAATAAATATTCACACCTCTCTAAAGAAAGCATTTGTCCTGTTTGTCCCGCTGATTTTAGAAAAGTTACAATTAATCCCGCATATCTTAAATTCCTATAGGCCCACCTTCTAAGTCAAACTTTTCTGTTTGTAACCCCATAAGTTGATCTGTACTTGCTTGAGATACAGTTATTTTGTGTTTAAAAACCCCTAGATAGAATCCCTTTGGCAATCTGTTCAGCCCCCTCCCAGGTTCACTTGCCTGGGGGCTTTTTGCTTTTGCTTTACAATAAATGTTGCTTTCTGCTTTGCTCTACAATGAATACTTTTCCTCAATCCTCTTTTGACTCTCTACCTTGTAATTCTTGCTAGGATGAGAGAAGAACGAATCAGCCAGACAGTAACAGCAACAAAATTAAGAAATGTTCAAAAAATTTTAGTAATTTATAAATAATGTTTAATATCTCAAGTCAGCAAAGCATCAAATACTATTAATATAAAATAGAAGATAATGGGACCAAAAACATTTCATGTCAAAATCGGTAACGTAAGCTTTTATTTAATAATAAGCAGGAAGTAATAGAAGTAAATGAATGAAGAGTCAGGGAACAAAAATCACAGGCGAGCAGGAAGGAAGTAGCAAAGAAATTACTTGAATGTTAGAAAAATATTAGGGATGAGATGATAAGGAAGGAAGGTAAAAGAATGGGGATGGGTGGACGCCCTACCAAGATCACAAGTCCCACTGAACACACCAAATCAGCCCACCCCCAGGCAGCAATCCACTGGACACCCCCCGCTCCTCTGTACAGCCACCTGGTTCCACACTACAAAGACGGAGAGGACACCAGACCACGGTACTGGGTCCCGCCACTCCCGACCCAGAGGAAGGGGCTGCTGGGCCACCATCCCTACTGCTGCTTCTGGAAGAGAGGTAGGGGTTCTGAGCTGCCATCTCACTGCTCCTGGTCCAGAGGAAGGGGATTCCCGGCCACCATCCCTCCCACTGCTCCCAGCCCACAGGAAAGGGCTTTGGGGCCACCATCACTACCGCTGGTCCCGGCCCCTATCCCACCTCTCCCAGCTCAGAGGAGGTAATCCACGCGGGTGCCAACAGCACACCCCCAATCCCACAGTCAAAATGAGAACACGTAAATAAGTCTCAAAACCAGACTTCCAGATCACCTACAGCAACCACAAAGGGAAAGGAGATGGAACACTCTGATACTCAACCACCTGGACCCACTGAACTGGCAACAAAAGAGGATCTGGGAAAAATGAAATCCAAAATAATTTCTCAGATAACAAGAGAAATTGTGCCCCTAGTGCAAGACATGATTAATCAATCTAGAGAGGAGCTTAGGAACATGATGGAATCCCAACATAAGAAACAAATGGAATCCATAAAACAGATGCAAATAGATTTCCAGGACATGAAAAACTCCACTGAAAGTCTA